CCTTTGAAACCTTTTGCTCAGCAGCCCTCCTGCGCCTGTCAGTTTGACGAGACTGGTCCGTGTGACACGGAGCAGAGGGTGGAGGCTGGGGGTGGAGGCTCGGGGTCCTGCGGCAGGTGGAACCTTCCTGCCCCGGAGCCGGGGTAATTAAGGAGAGTTGAACTGATCCTGACGATGCTTCAGGGCTCTTGATAAGTGTCTGCAGCCCGAGAGATTCAGGGGAGCTCAGGAGCTTTCAGGTCGGCCACGGGCGTGGCGCGGAGCGAGGGACCAGACGATCTCCAACTCCACGGAGCCCAGAAGGCGGGGCGCTGAGCCTGGAGCCTGCAGAGGGGATCTAGGCTTGGTCTGTGGACGCTCTGCTTGCGGGCAGCAGATACTAAGCTGTGAATGACTCTGGAAGTCTGGGAAGTGTTCCTGGGAATACTTGAGGGCTGGATTGCTTCCATCTGTGTGTGAGGGTTTCATGGAACCATTCTGGAGGGGAACAGCGGTCTGCCAGCTCTGGCACAGCCAGGCAGATCCAAGTGGCCTCTCTTTTCCCTTGTGATGCTGATGCCCTTTGCCCTCTGCCCTTGGAACCCATCCCACCACTCTCCCTTTTATGGGTGCACTGTCTGGTCATTGAAAAAATCTTTGAGACGGAAACCTGCGTCCAGCCCTGGGCCCAGGGCGTCGCTGGGCTTCATCTAACTGGGAGACAGCCAAGCTGCTCACCGGGCTTCTGTTTTGTCCTGAGATGAGGGCAGAAGCCCTGCTGTTGATTTGCGGTCTTGCCCTTGGGACCCCAGGGCTGCAGGCGGAGCCAGAGGAGGCAGGAGGGGAGCTCCGCGGGGAGTGGTCTGCGGGGCGGCTCTGCCCTGCCCCCTCACTGCCAAAGTTCACCCAGCTCCCTCTGCTAAGGGACTGAGGGTTTTCACAGGGAAATTACTTAATTTTCAGCCATTTTCCGGTTGCCAGAGTTGAATGTAAAAGGAAGAATCAGGACCCTGGGGATAAACACAGTAGGCAGGGCTTGGTTTGCAAGTCCTGGGGCGTATGAGAAGGTTCTGGCTGGACCTTTTTTTTTTGATAAATCTGTTGAGCTGTTGACATACAATACACCGCACATATTTAAATTGTGTAATTTGATGTTTTGATACCGATTTGTATACACATGTCTGTATATGTGTGTGTGTGCTTGACTGTACATATATATGGGTGTCTCTGTGAACGTAGCACCACAGCTAAGATTTCGAATATATCCGCATCCCCCCAAAAGTTCCTCTGGCCCATTCGTCACCCCTTCTTCTCACCCATCCCCACCTCCCTGTCTCTTTCCTGACACTATAGATCAGTCTTCATTTTAAAAAAATAATTTAATATAAATGGAATCCAAGAGTATGTCGCCTTTTTGTCTGGCTTCTTTCACTCCCATGGTGATTTTGAGATTCATGCAGGTTGTTGCTTGGATCAGGAGTTCCTGCCTTTCGAAGCCGAAGAGCCTCTCATTGTGTGTTTAGACCACCACCCGCGCACCCATGCACCTGCTGGTGAACGTGTGTGCTGTTTTCAGCTACAAGGAAAGCTTCTATGAACCTTCACGGACAAGCCTTGTATGGACAGAGGCTTTTGTTCTCCTGGGGGAAGATGTAGGAGAGGGGTGTCTGGATCGTTCGGTAGAAGTTTGTTTGGCTTTTTAGGGGAACCAGCGAATGTTTTCCGAAGGGGGTGTACATTTTGTGCGTCTGTTCCCACCAACAACATACAAGTGTTCCATCCGATCACCCCACATCCTCGCCAAGATTTGGTCCATCTTTTCATTCCAGCCACCCTAGTAAGCCTGTCGTGGTATTCCATTTCAGTTCCAAATTGCATTTCCCTTATGCCTAATAATGTTGAGCATTTTCATATAGCTATTTGATATCCATATATCTCATTTGGTGAAGTGCCTGTTCAAATGTTTGTTCGTTTAAAAAAAATGAGCTGTTTATTTTCTTTTTAATGAGTTCTGAGAGTTTTTCATATATTCTGGATCAAAATCCACTATCAGATATGATTTGCAAACAACTTTTCCTCTGTAGCTTATGGTGTCTCTCAAAGAGCAGAAATTCAAAATTTGGATAAAATCCAATTCAGCAGGGTTTTCTTTTTAAGGGATTCTGCCACTGCTAGTGTACCGAAGAAACAGTTCATTCAGCCAAAGTCGAAAACCCGTTTTCTTCCTGAAGTTTATACGTTTAGATTTTCCATTTAGGTCTATGATCCATTTTGAGTAAATTTTTGTATGTGACACGAGGTGTGAATTGAAATTCCTTTTTGCAAGTGGGTATGCAATTACTCTGGTACCATTTGCTGGAAAGATCACCCTTCCTCTGCTGGACCATCTCTGCATCTTTGTCACAGGTCAGTTCTTTATCCGAGTCTATTTCTGGATCCTCTATTCTCTATTCCATTTCATTGATCGTTTTTTCTGCCTTTATGCTGATACCACACTGTCTTGATTACTGGAGACTCATAATGTCTTGTCACCAGGTAGTGTTAGTCTTCCAATTTTGTTTTCCTTTTTCAAAGCTGTTTCGGCTGTTCTAGGTCATTTGCATTTTCCTATGGATGTTAGATCAGCTTGTCAATGTCTGCAAAAACCTGCTGTGGTTTTGATTGAGACGGAGGTAAGTCTATAAATGAATTTAGGGAGAAATGGTGTCTCATGGTGTCTCCGTGAACATGCACATCTCTCCAGTTATTTCAGCCTCCTTTTTAATTTTTCTCATCAATATTGTGTAGCTTTCCGTGTACAAGTATTACACATTTTTCGTCAGCTATATCCAGAAGCACCTCATATTTTTACCCCCTTTATTGTGGTATGGTTCCTGTACAGTGAACTGCACATATTTCAGATGTGCAATTTGATGAATTTTGATAGATGTATTCACCCATGAAACCACCACCGCACTCAAGATAGCTCACATGGGAATTCGAAAATTGCACCTCTTGGGGAGTGATGGAAATGTTTGCTGTCTTAAGGATTTCATGTTTTTGATGCTACTGTAAATGATATTTTTATTTCAGTTTGAACTTCTGTTGCTGGTATACAGAAATACAATCGATTTCCATAGAGAGAGATCGTACCCTTTAACCTTGTTAAAGTCACGTGTTAGCTCTTGCAGCTTTTTGTGAATTTCATCAGCTGAAATTCTGGGATGTCAGGTCCCAGTGAGATGAAGTATGTTAGGGGCCTGGCAAGAGGATGCCCTGAAGGAATGACAGACAGGTTTATTGGCCCAGTGTCCTGGGAGCAGCCGGCAGGAAGAGGGTAGCGGTGCAGGCACCTCGCAGGTAGTCTGGCAGGAGCAGGAAGGCAGCGGGCAGCTCTGCGGGGGCTGCGTGTTTACAGAAGCTCAGGTGTTCTCACCGTCACTATCCACAAGCCCTTCCTAAGCTCAGCAGTGACTCAGATGTCCTGGGCAGCGAGCACAAACCATGCAGACACCGCCCTGCTCCTTTGGGACTTAAGCCGGGGCAGTTCTCCCTGAGGAAGACAGAATAGAAATGTCAGATCTGCCTGTGATTAGATGACGGTCAGTTCATACCACGTAGGGATGAAGACAGAGCCAGGTTTCCCAGAGAGGGAAGCTCCTCGTCCAGCCCGAGCAGTGAGACGGTGCAGTCCGCTCTGCCTGGTCGGCTCTGTTACACGGAGTTCATTAGAGGTCGTCTTCCAGCTCTGGGCCCAGAGCTCTTGACAGATCTGGAAGATGTTGACTGAAATCATGGATGACTTAGGAGCCGGGTGTAACCAGCCAGGACCCTGGGCTGGAGACACGGCGATTTCCCGTCGTTTCTGGCCGTGGACACTGGAGGTATGACTAGGACTTCACTTTCCCCACAGAAGGCATTGCACTGCATATCTGTATTTTTAACTTCAAATATTATCATATATTACAATTTGGACCTACTCTGCTTCCAAAATGTCTTCGGATGGAAAAATCCAAGGGCATTACTCTTCTTTATGATCACATTTAACCCCATTTTTCATTAGTAACATTTTATCATTTTGAAACTTCACGGACTTACAGACTATCAGAGCTAAAAGGAACGTTCAAAGCAAGCATCTCTAGTCTGATACAGATGAGGACACTGAGGCCCAGACAGGCTGTAACTTGTTCAAGGTCACTTAAGCAGCAGCAGAAGCCAGGTTCCTGTGCCGTCTTCCACGCCATCATGTCTGCAGTGCATCCTCTGACAAAATGTTTCAAGGGACTTTCTGGTCGAGGTGTATGATTTGTGATTCTGTGTTGGCTAAAGGCAGCCCTGATGTCACCAAACCAGGCCCGGCAAGCCCAGCACAACGGGGGGCCTTCTGAGGACGGGGCGCACCTTCTCGCCCGTCAGCAGAGGCCGCAGCACGGGAGGAACGCTCACCAAGAACGTGCTGATTTTGACTAATGTAGGAGACGAAGCCTCTGGGCCAGGGGAGCTCTCCGTCCTTGGCGCCGCTTAGGAGTCAGGACCCTGTGGGATTAAGATCAAATACCTGTGAGATGAGGGCACGTTTGCATCTCAGCTTCTGCACTCACCGCACTCACCTGCTGTGTGGCCTTGGTCAAGACACTCAACCTCTCTGAGCCTGGAGACGATACTGTCTTTCAGAGGGGTGTGAGAAACAGACAGGAACACGGACAGAGGGACCACGGCGTGGTGCCTGCCTCCAAGAAAACGCTCAAGAAACGGTAGCTGGCCTCTCAGGATGTGTGTCGTCATTGGTCGCAGTTGGGAGAAAGTCTCTAGCCGCCTCCTCTCGGATCTGGAAATGTCCGTTTTCCTCCCCATCTCTTCTCCGAGCTCTTTGACGGGCCGGCTGGCCCATTAAGGGCCGTCCTGAGCTTGCGCACATTAGGGGGCGCTGCTAAGAGCGGCAGGGGCGCTGGCGAGTGGGGCTGTGCTCCTTGCCGCCCTCTCCCGTCCTCTTCCAGCACCCCCCACCATCCCCACTCCTCTCTCTCATCTTCCACCTTCAGGTCCTGGGAAGACTTGGATGGCTAACCCTGACGGGAGAGTGGTTTCCAGACCCCGGAGGCCTGGCCCGGGGAGCCAGGGGAGCCAGGGAAGCCAGGGGAGCGGGGACGACTGGGGACCCCTGGACGACCGGCCACGTGAGGAGACCCAGGGGGCCCGGGAGCTGGCCATGCTGAGGAAGGCGCAGGAATTCTTCCAGACCTGTGATGCCGAGGGCAAGGGCTTCATCGCCAGGAGGGATATGCAGGTAAGAGGAGCCCGGGCTGGGCCTGCCCACCCGGAAGGCCAAAGGGCCTGGGTCTCCCTCTGTTGGGTTGGGTCCTGCACCACCAGAGGTGACATCCCCTGGGAGCCAGATCTCGTGGGTTCCTTCTTTTTCTGGTCTTTACTTTCTGTCAGACGAAGGGTGGGGGGGTTTCTCTGTCTGACTCGGTGACTCCCCAGGTTTGCAGGAAATGGCGATAGCAACATGAGGGACTTAAGTAAGACATGGAGAAGAACTCTTCAGAACAAAGGCAAAGAGGCACTGACTTGTTGCTTCATAACACAGCTCTGAGCTGTGCCCAAGCCACTCCCACGAGGTGCCTCATGTGTCCCAGGGACGGGTGTGGTGTCGGACCCACAGCCTGGGAGGAAATCGACATGGTACATCATTTTCATGCCTCACCAAATATTCTTCTTTTGAAAGTCTTTCAACCATGTAAAAGTGTAAAAGCCGTTCTTAGCTCCCTGGCTGTACAAAAAGAGACACTGGTCGGATTTAGAGTGCGGGAGTGTGGCTCGCCCACCCCTGGTCTGGTGCTCTCCACCACCAGTGCCAAAAGGCTCCTCCCAGTGTCTTCCTTAAATCTCTCATGCTGCAGTCATGATTTCACCCTGACGAGAGTAAAGGAGGCGCAGGTCCCCCACCCACCCCCAGCCCTTCCAGCACTCGTCTGTCCAGGGCATCTGGGGAGGGGCGCACAGCTGTGGTACAGGAGGGAGACCCACGATGGTCAGATTCTGTTTTGTAAGTCCGTTTTTTCAGAGGACGCTAGAGCTGGGCGGTGAAAGGCGGACCCTCGTTAGTACCCGTCCCACCCCTGCTCGCTGTGCGCGCCGCACAGCCTGAGCCGGGAGGTGGACCTCGAGACCTGCATGGAGACGGCGGGCCTGTCCTTCTCTCCCTGGCCCCGCGAGGGGTGGGGTGCTGTTCAGGCTGCTCCCTGAGTCCTTCCCCCATCCGGTAGCTGCACAAACTGGGGGGAAAGACCTGAGAAGAGAGGCAGCTTAGCCCACGAGTGAGCCCGGGACCTCTCCAGTTTTCAGTAATTGGCCCCCAGATGCCCTTCTGCCCTTGACACTCATTCCCAAAGTCTCACTCCCTCTGGAGGGCCAGCCTCAGCGGGTTGGGGGGAACTTTGACAAACCCCTGTGAACTCATAATGGTCACTCCCAGGCCTGGGGCCATGGTGGTCGGAGGCGGTGGTCTTCATGGCAGCCCCCCCCCCTTTTGATTCTCGTTCTAGAAAGAAAGGAAAGAGAATTCGCGTTTATTGAGGGTCGACCCTGGGCCACAAGCAGGGTGCAAATCAGCACTCTCCCCAAATCGACGCCAGTCAAGCTGCCCTGAAGCCCACTCTCTCGTGACGGCGGGGAGGGCGTGGGGGGTTTAAACTGTAAAGTATACACTGTTAAAGAAATCGTCTGTGTTTGACTGGCTGGGAGCGAAGTCAGAAGCCTCAGGTCCCAGAGGCACCAAGTCAGCCACCCCCCCTCGGGCCTCGCCTGGTCCAGGCGGGAGGAGCAGCCCGGACATCCCACCAGCGGGTCTTGCGCGTCCGCGGCCTTTCCCGCTCCCCACCGTCGTGTTCTGAAGTTTGGAGAGGTCAGCTCTTCCAGCTGAGGAGCTGCATCAAGAGAACAAATTGAAGGGCCGCCTCTCTGCTGGAGGGGGATGGGCTGGAAGGAGATATGGGAAGAAGCTGCCCTCTTGGAACTGGCCCTGGGCTCCCCGGCGAGGCCCCTGTGCCCTTGGTTCTCCTGGCAGGACCTACAGACCTCTGCCCGCCGCCGTCACCCTGACACGTGCTGCTGTGGCCGGTGGCCAGTCCCCGAACCCGCTCATCACCCCCGTTCTCACCTTCGGCTCCCAGCATGGCCTCCCAGGGTGGAGGAGAGCTCAGGGCATTCATGCACACCCAGATCCAGGCACCGGGAAAGGCTGCTTGAAGGAAGGAGAGGCTGTGGGCCGGGTTGGGGGGTCTGGGTGGGAGGGGCGGCGGAGAAGCGGAACTGGAACAAACCCACACAGAGCTTGCCGTCCTTTGAGAAAGCAGCGAGATGGCGAGGCTCCTTCCCTGGTGCTCCTGGTCTCTTTCCTGAGTAACGAAAACCCACTTGCAGAGAGCTGGCTCCCAGCCATCCAAGAGGCAGTGGAGAACCAGCCATCAGAGGTGATGCTCTGGGCACCAGGCATAGACAGCCAGCCGCCCCGACAGAGCAGGGACCACAGGAGGGAAAAGGAGCAGGTCCCTGGAGCAACCTGGAGGCACTGGAGCCGGGCTGCCCTGAGGCCAGGGTGCGAGCCCCCGGGCTCAGGCTCCGTGGCCGGACATCCTGCTACTGGACGGCAGACGGCGGACGGCGGACCCTGACCTGTGTGTGCAGAGTTTGGGCAGGGGGTTGAGGGTCTTCAGCTCCACCTGTGGCCCCTCAGACCTCGCTTCCTCCTCCACAAGGAGCCCCTCTGTGTGCTCCTTGGAGACTGTTCCTGGCAGAACCGGGGTGAAGATTGCTTTGCAGGGAGGGGGCCCCCAGAGAAGCAGAGTCGTGGGTTGGAGGGTCCCGAGTGGGAACTAGTCCTTCCTCAGCGGGTCAGAGGGACATGGCGGGGCAGGTGGAGGGACTCCTTCAGCTGAGACAGGAAGATGGGGACAGACAGGCGGGGATCTCTGAGGAAACCTAAAGCCTCGTCAAAACTTCCCCCTGACTTTTTAGGGGAGTGTAGTGATTATCCATCAATGTGCTCCCTGCGGGTAATTCTGGGCTTGGCCCGACTGTTAGGAACCACCTGAGCTGGCCAGCCAGCCCAGCCTGGCCCTGCCTGTTTCTGTGAGTCGTGTTACTGGCACACAGCCAGGCTGTGTCCCCCACGTTTCGTCCACGGTGGCTTCCAAGCTGTAACGTGTGAAGCTGTGACAAAGACCGAATGGCCTGCGAAGTCTCAAATGTGATCCTCCTGGCCCTTATAGCAGACACTGGTGGACTCCTGATGTAGGTTAATAAGAAGACTCTTGAAGAATTTTGCAGTAAATCGGCCTGGGTTTTAATCCTGAACCTGCAACTTACTAGCAATGTGAATTTGTGTAAGTCTCTTAGCCCCTCGGAGCTGTGAACTATTTATAACTAACTCCCAGCATTGGAAGAGAGTTAGCAAGCGTGTATATGCAGAGCTCTTGGCCCTGAGCTGGGACCTGGCAATCTCTCCATAAATGCACACTTGTCGGGCAGGGGGGCCTTGCACCACGAGTCTTAACCCAATCCCTGGTGTCCTGGGATGCTTTTTAAACTGTGGTAAAATACACATAACAAAGTTTGCCGGTCGTCAGGGTTCCACGCTGTAGCACGGGCCAGAATTTCCTCTCCTTTTAGGGCTGGACACGACTCCACTGCACCCACTGACCACGCCTCGTCTATCCGCTGTCTGGCGGTGGCCACGTGGGTTGCTCCACACCCTTGGGTGTGAATCACGCTGCTACGATCAGGGGTGTGTATATACTCTTCAAGTCCCTGCTTTCAGTTTTTTGGGGGTACATACCCCAAAGTAGGATTGCTGGATCCTATGGCAATTCTGTTTTTAATATTTTGTGGAGCCAACATGCCGTTTCCATAGCGGCTGTGCTGTCTTTCCAGGACTTCAAGTGCAAGTCATCTCTCCTGCCTCAGAGATCATGAAGGGTCATTTCTGCTGGGGGGGGGCACCTTCCCCTCGCACCCAGCTAGTGCTGCGCCGGCTTGAGTCCAGTCTACGTGAGTGGGGGTGGGCTTGCCTCTTAGAGGGCAGTTGATAATGTCTAGGGACATTCTCGATTGAAATGACTGGAGACGGGGCTGCCGCTGGCGCATCCTAGGTTGCGCCCAGGGATGCTGTTAAATATCGCATAGAGCACAGGCTGGATTCCGCCCCCCCCCAGAAAAGACTTCCCATCTCATGATGTCAATAGCGTGGATGTTGAGGGACCCCAGGCTCCGCCCAGCCATCGGCCTGAACCAAGCAGGTCAAGGCACCAAGCAGGATGAAGGTAGATCCCACCTCTGGGCCTCACCTCCCCATCCTGGAGGTGTTCGGTGTGGCTGAGCTCTGCCACAGGAAAGAGAGTGGCTGGTGCTGGCTCAGAGGTCTGAACAGGAGGCTTTGGAAGTCTGGAAGGAGGGAGACTTTAATCTGGCTGTAAAGGTGGGTCTTCTAATGATGCATTTGAAGCTATGCATCAATTCGCTTTAAGCTGCATGAGGTCCGTTGTGGGCTGGTGACCAGAAAGGCAGAGAGCCTGGCTGGAGCGCAGGGGGAGACAGCACTGTTCCTTGGCTCCGGGAGTCCGGCCCTCAGCGCTGCTGCTGCAGGACTGTTTCCCGTTCCAGGCTCTGGAAAAACACCCAACTTGTAAGACCTCACTGAGCATCACCAGTGGGGCCAGATGGTGGGTGTCCCGCTGTTCAGAAGGGGAGAAGGATGCTGAAGTGGTCTTCAGAAGCGGCTTCTGGCTTTTGGAGGCCGGGGCCAACTCGAGACACTTGTGGGCAGAAGGACCAGCCTGGGGCAGCCGTCTGGGACGAGCCGTGTTAACCAGTGGGGTCTGGATTGTTTTCAGAGGCTCCATAAGGAGTTGCCCCTCAGCCTGGAGGACCTGGAGGATGTGTTTGATGCCCTGGATGCCGACGGCAATGGCTTTCTGACCCCAGAGGAGTTCGCCACTGGATTTAGTGAGTGGTGCCGGGCGCCGGGGCCCTGGGGAGGGGCCTCCCAGAGCTCTGTGAGGTGCACCCCTGCCCCGCCAGCCCCGAGAGTCGCTGTAGCAAAGCTCCTACTCCTTGAGGTGTCCAGGCTGTGGGTCCTCTGGACCTCGTTTCACGTGTCCACCTCTTTTTATGGGGCTCATACCACTGCCCCCTCAGGGGCACTGTCACTGCTGGGTCCCCTCCTGCTGCAGAATGGCAGGGAGAAAGCAGAGACACTGGCGGAAAGCTCGGCATGGGGGCGGGGAGGGCTGAGATGGGATTGCCAGCCTCTGCTTTTCTGCCGAGATGCCGGCGGATGACAGCGACTCATTTCATTCAGAGTCTGGCTGAGTCGTCCAGGCTGAGGGACACCCGCTTTCAGAGGAATCTATAAAGGGTTTGAATAGACCAGTCGTGCCCCAGGTAACCAGGAGGAAAAAGAACCAGGAGATGCATGAACAAGATAAAGAAACCATGTACCCCCTCAGAGCAAATACTGATCAGACAATGATAGAGCAAATGTGGGTCAGAGAAGTCACCAGGCCGGTTTAGCCACACATCTGCCTCACACAAGGTGCCGGACGTTTCCTGAGAAGTATCTGCGGCCTTTCCTGACCTTCAGGAATTTGTCACTGACTCGTGAACGGGAGGCACAGTGGTACTGGGGGCTCTGATGCTGTGGGACGGCACGGAGCGCAGGCAGCCGGGCTGCTGGAGGGCGCTGGAGAGAAAGGTCTTCTTTAGAGAAGGAATCAGAGAAGAGACAAGTCTAGGCAGACTTTAAAGGATCGTGAACCACAAAGGTGCCGTGGGACCTGCCATGCCTCTGCCCTCCCCAGGTCGTAGCCTTTCCACCAGACTCTCGTGGGAGTAGGAGAGAGACAAAAGCCAGAGCATGGCATCCAAGATCTTTGCTCAGGGCGGAGGTGGGGCGAGGTTCCCCTTTTCTTCCCTCAGCTGAATCTCAGATGATTCCTGGCGTCTGGGAAAGCAAAGGTCCCCCTGGGTGAGTGCCGCCCTAATCCAGACCCTTGTGCCACGCTCCTGCAGGTCACTTCATCTTCGGCCAGAATAAGCCAAGTCAGGAAGACGGAGGGGAGCCGGCGGCCCAGCCCCAGGAGGAGAAGGTGTACCAGACCAGAGGGGAGGAGGACCTGGGCGGCATGGACGAAGACGAGGAGGCGCAGTTTCAGGTGCTGATGGACAGGCTTGGAGCCCAGAAGGTTCTGGAAGAGTAAGTGGTGACAGTGGTCTGGGGGATGGAGCCCGACTTCCTCATCTGTTCTGTTCCATCACTGAGGCTTCCTACGCACTCGGCCCGGCCCCGGCTCCTTGCTTCCAGCCGGGTCACTCACTCCACGCAGCCTGTCCTTGGCCATGACCTGTCTGTGTTTCGGGGTCTATGGGCTCTGCTTTCTGTGTTGTTTTCACGGGAAACACTCCCCCGCTGTCCATCATCAGCACGGTCCTCAGCTCAGCCCTCCGAGCTCCCTGAGCGGTGCTCACCCTCAGAGGGCTGTGCCAAGCCGTGAGGGTTTTCCTGGAGTCCTGCCTAAGGCTTCCTGTCACCATCAGCTCACCGGGTTTCCACCTCCGCTGGGTCTCTGGGGCTGCAGTGCGCCCTCCCCGCACCGTGCTGTGCTCCGGGCAAAGGCACCTTACGTGGAAGCATCCACACATCGGATCCCTGAGCCAAAGCCCACCTGTTGAGGCAGGTGGGAGGGGACCCAGCTCCGGGCAGCTCGCCACCCGGGTGATCAGCAGCTCAGCTGAAAACTTACGTGCCTGGGACTTTAAGCAAAACATAATACCACCCCCTTTTCTTTTCCTTTTTGCAAAAAAGCGTTTTGGGATAAAGAGACACATAGATTTAAGCCCAGACATTTCAAGTGAAATGAAACAAAGTGGCGCTGTATCTGGGGCACGGACACGGTGGCCCGAGAAGCACGGGGCGGCCTCGGCCCCCTTCCCCGCCGCCCTTTGCCTCCTCCTGCTGGGGCTCTGGGTCTTGGGTTGGGTGTGTGTTTCATGAGGAACTGGAAAGGCTGGATTATTGGAACTGATGTGCCCGAAGCTTGGAAAGAGGAGAGATTGAGGGGAGGGGGTGGATGATAAAGAGGAAGGAAGACAGAGGGGCCTTCACATGGCACGCAGGCCAAAAAGTACGTGCAGCTCGAGAGTCTTTCCGCAAACAACCCGACAGGTTGTGCCAGACTTGAGATAGGCCGGCAATAGCCCGTACCAGAAGGGACACCTGACCCAGCTTCTCCAGGGACAGTGACCTCCTGGAGGAGGGGGCTGGAGCGGGCGGGGTGGGTGAGCCCGGGGGCCATCATGAGTCACAAAAGAGGGGCGCCTCTGCTCGCTTCTGGGCACTTCACTGGGGGTGCTCTGAGGATGCCTGTCAAAGGCCCATGCTGAGCTGAGCCCACATGAGATGTCCTGGTGCAGAGGCTCTGGGCAAGGTTCCAGGCGCGGTCTACGGAAACTGACACACAGAGGACGGGGCCCAGAGCCACCGCTGTCCTCGGGGAAGTGAAACAAGAGGGAAGCGGGCCCCTGGGGGAACCAGTCCCAACCGCAGGACTGCAGATGAGGGCACAGGTGGCTCTGAAGACTTCGGAGGTCTTTAGCGATGTCACCGACCGAGATGGTCTGTGTGTTGTGCTGGAAGCAGGGAGATGGACAGCCTGACCCCCCAGAACCCCTTCTCACCCTGCACCCCGCACCCAGTATCCTCCCATGAGGAGTGGCCTGCACGTGGCCCAGACATGGCCCAGGCGTGGCCCGGACGTGGCGGACTGGCGTCTGGACTGCCAGCTGTTCCCGGCGGTCTGGTTGGCTGAGGGATTCGGCAGCTTATGGGCCTTGGCCTATTTTTCATTCAAGGTTGGAAGACTTGTCCCTTCTCCAGAAATCCCCAGGGAGGTGATGTGGCCATGACCAGGTGGTTAAAGAGCTTTGGAAGAGCATCGGGTGGGTCTGCAGATTTCACTGGAGGCTCCAACAGGAACCTGGGAGGTGGGAACAGACAGGCCTGGGCCAGCAGGGTGGATCCTGACCCTAGAATGCATTTACTTCACGACAGGCAACCTGCCACAGTGACAGGAGGTCATCCTTGTGTCTCCCTGAGACCCTTTTGTCCCTGAACCCTTTGCACCACCTCCGTCACATCTGCAGTACAACAGAGCAGACAGCCACACGTGTTCTGTGTGGGGGAAGCGGAACTCACTCTGGGAAGCAGGGAGGCTCTTTACCTCCCCTTGTCTTGTTTCCCAGATTCCCTCATGCCATCCAGTCCAGTGCTAGCTTTTCAACAGATGATAAATACTTATTGGATGGGTGGGTGGATGGGTGGATAAATGGATGGGTGGGTGGGTAGGTGGATGGATGGAGGTTCTACACGGTTGTGGATGTCTGGATGGAATGGAGCGCGGGAAGGAAAGCAGGATGGAGGGATGGTTGGATAGACGATCAGCTAACTAACCGGAGGTCGGGTCACTTCTGCGTGGGCCTCTTCTCCGCTGGGTGCAGAGTAGCGTTTCTGCCCCAGGCACGTTGCTGGCATGCCACTACCAGTATCACTTCTGAGTAAAATGTCTCACATATAGGACTTGTTACACAAGCACAAAGGATTTTATTCTTTATCCTGAGGGTCCCTGCTTATAACCACCTTCAGATCACGGTGGTTTCAGAATTTAATGGAGTGCAGATCATATCGCTTTCTGGCTCAGTTTGATCACTGGCTATAGATTGTTGAGTTTCTCCATAGAGCGAGAGCAGGGCCTATCGTGTGTGGGGCCCCCTCATCCCTCCCCTCGCTGATCCGTGTGACCCTTTGGTCTCTGCTGCTGAGCGTGCGCGCACATGCCTATTGGGGATGCAACTCTGGGCATGTCGCTCTGTCTCTGTCTCTATGCCTGCCTCCTTCCCTCCAGACTCTCTATTCGTCCTTCCACGTGTGCACACACACCTCTCAGACTTGCTCCTTCTCTTCCTGTTGCCTGTTGGTCACGCCTGCTGCCCCCAGGCCCCTGCAGGGCGCTGCGTCTTCCCTTCCCTGCCCCGCCATGACAATGGCTTTCTGCCAGCCATCGGATGGCACGTCTTTCCCTCTGAGCTGCAAGGACCGTCCTTCTGGGGGCCACAGGCTCTCTCCTTCAGCTCCATGCGTCTGTCCTTGCCCACGCTGGGCTCCTGTCCCTCTGTTTCTTTCTGGCCTCCAGAGGTGCTCCCCACACAGCAGTGCGGGCTCAGCCCCACCAGCCCCTGAGGGAGACAGCAGAGCGGAGGCCAGCACGGGACCAGACAGGCTCCCGGCTCCATCACCCACCAGCTGAGTGATCTGAGGCCGCCCTCTTCACCCCGTCCTCCGTCTCCTCGCCTGTAAATGGCGGGGAATGGCAGCACCTGCCTGTCACGTTCCCGGAGGCTCAAACGAGGAAACATGCGTGAAGGAGCCGGCGTGCGGCGAGCTGTTCCGGCCGTCAGTCTGACACCTGGGCCTGTTGCCGGGGCCCCGCGCTCACGCTCCCTTTCCTCCCGTAGTGAACGTGACGTCAAGCAACTCTGGCTGCAGCTGAAGAAGGACAAACCTCACCTGCTGTCCGACTTCGAGGATTTCCTGACCAGAATCTTCTCGCAGCTCCAAGAAGCCCACGAGGAGAAGAGCGAACTGGAGCACGCCCTGCGAAAGTGGGTACCCGTCTCCGCCGCCCTCGGCACGGGCGCGTGGAAGCCGGAAACACCTCTTTGGTCTCACGTTTGGCAATGCCGCCTTATGCCCGTCTGCTGGGGTGGGGCCGGGCCCTGTGGCTGTCATCACTTGTATTTCTAAGCCCTCGCTCATGTTTGTTGGGCCCTCACCGTGTGCTAGACACTGTCCTAGGTACCTGGTCTACACTAGCTCATCTGGACTCTCTATCATTGTCCCCATTTTACTGATGAGGAAATCGAGGCGCTGAAAGCGTGAGTAACATGCCCCAGGACACACAGCGTGCAGGTGGCAGAGCCAGGATTCAGAGTCAGACAGTCAGGTGCCTGAGACCCATTAGAAACGACTGTACGTGCCTCTGGGCAGTGAGGCCCCGACGCGCCGGGTCTACCCCCACGATTCAGAGGGTCCTCAGCCATCCTGACCGCTCCCTCTCATCCCGCTCTCAGTCTCTCCTGCCGCCCGCGTTGCCCCCCAGGTCTCTCCCAATCATTAGCGGTTTCTAGGGCTCCCTTGCCTGGATGAGGCGGCGCCAGGCTAGGTGAACACCAACCGGAGGAGGCAGCGCAGGGGCCGACGTGGTGTCGGCCGGGCCCCGTGCTGCGCAGGTGCGGGCCAGCGGGCAGGTGTCGGTCAGCCTGTGGGAATGAGTGTGTCTTCGGGCCCCATGCCTGTCTGCGGTCATCCAGCCCACCGCACAGCAATGAGCTCGCATTCTGTGAACCCTGGTGTCACTAAAGATGGTCTGTAGTCCTAAAGCCTCAGGCAAAATGCAGGCTGGTTCAGGTAGAGCGTGGAAGCACGCCGAGGAGGTCCTCTGCATGCCTCTGGTCCCACCTGGAGATTTGCTTGTGTTCCTTAAAAATCCCCAATAATTCCAGCACAGACCACTGGCCCTTCCGTGCAGGTGCTTCCTACCAAAGCCTCTGGGTCCGTGCTGCAGTCTGGGCTGACGTGGCCTTATAGAAAGCACGCAGGCCCCGAGTTCCGAGAGAGCTGGCTCACCACGTGCGCTCCTGCGTAGACCGCTGTCCACGCCCCGCCCTGAGCTCCCTGTCATCCAGGGCGTCCCCTGCAGCAATTCTAAAACCTTGCTGAGGTCCACGGGGTATACACGGGTGTGGAAAAAGGACCTGTCGGACCCTGCGTTAGGAGAAATTGTGACCAATTGGTGCTGGAGGACACACGGTCTGGCGAGGGGAGTGTTAGGGGCACTGTGGGGAGGGCCTCCCGAGGCCCGGCGGCAGGAGGGGTTGAGAATATGCTCTAGCGAGTCTTCACCCAGTAAACCAGGACTCAGACGGAGCCGAGTTTCAGTCTTAGCTCTGCTACTAACTAGCTGTGTGACGTCGGCCCAGTTACTTAACCTCTCTGAGCCACCGCCGCCTCATCTGTCAGACAGGGATGGGAACAGCGTCCGTCTCGGAGAGATGCGAGGACTAGATGTGATGACGCGTGTCAGCATTCGGAACAGCGTTGGCCCGCCGCACGTATTCGGTGAATGTTAAGGTCGTCATGTTTATCACTGTTTTAAGTAGGGATGTTTGTGTGTCGTGGAGGATCTGGCTGGCTGATGTGGAGCATTTGGGGTGAAGCTTAAGGCCCCCTTTATCCTTCCAGACAGCATGATGTAGAGCTTTGCTACCAAAGTCCAGCCTGGGGATGAGCAGGAAGCTTCTGGGGAATGCGGAGTGGCAGGCCTTGCCCCGGCCCCGCTGACTCTGCATTTTAACAAGGTGTCCAGGGGCCTCGTGTGTGGACGTGAGAAATGGGGCTGGGAATCGGGAGGTCTGGGTTTGAGTCATCTGCGGCTTTCCAACCCACTGGCTCTGTGACCTCGCTCTGGTCTCTGGGCCTCTCTGAGCCTTGATTTTCCCACCTGTAAAATGAGGGGCTCACCACCCTGCCCTCGGACCCCAGCATTGGTTGCCCCGAAGAGCCACAGTGAAAGTCAGGCGGCACCCCCAGAGGGGACGCTTCCCTTGCTGACTAAGGAGGTGAGGGTCACTGTGGCCTGTGGCCCAGAATCCTACCTGCAGGGAGCGCCCCTGCTGACCTGCACGCCCGCAGGGAGAGACCCTCAGCCCTTCCGTCCATCTCTAAGTGGCCTCTGTTTGTGCTTCCGTCCCAATTCAATGAGGGTTTGAACGTTCTTGAGATGGAAGTCAAGGTCACTCTCGGAAGCATGGGCAAGACTAGCTCAGCCAAGACCCCCAGCTCTCTGTGCCCTCCCTCCACAGGCACCCCTGCCGGCTGCACCTGCCCCAGGCCAGCTGATGAGGCCCCCTCCCGGGTGGGGGGCTCTGGTGGGATCCAGGGCTCGCTGAGCTCTCTGGCAGCCCCTTTCCCAAGAGTCCTCTGGTGCAGAACCCGAGGCCTATAGCCGCGAGCGGAGCCCCGAAACAGGAGGCAGGAGCACCCCGAGGTCCCCTCCCCAGGCCCTGCCACTGGCCAGCTGTGTGACTCGGGCAGCTTGCCTTACCTCTCTGTGCACCTGTTTCCTTGCTGGCAACGGGAGAGAATGGGATTTTCAAGCTTTCTGATTGTGATTCACCAGAAGAAATGCACTTGGCTTTGCCGCTCCCACACACGTGCACGTGCGAGTTACTGAGACAAGGCCCAGGAAACGTGCTCACCCTCGTTCCGGGTGGCCGGCTCTGAGGTTTTCTGGTAGTTTTTTTTACTTAAAATTTTTTTATTTTTAAATTTTTTAATTCTTATTTTTTATCGAAGTGCCGTCACTTGACAGCACTGGTGTCAGGTGTGCAGCAGAGTAGCGCCACCGTGTTCTCTTCTGTTAAAGGGAAAAAACAGAGTGGTCACCCCCCGCTTCTGGGTTACACCTGGACCGCATGCCCTTAGAAGTCCTTGCAGCTCCGAGGTCAGACAAGAAACCGGAGGGTTTGAGTAGAAAGCTTTCCGGGTGACCCAGGGTGAGGCTGTGTGATTCTGGGCATCTCCTAGGAGACCGGGTTGGGCTTTTCTGTGGGAGGGGCGCAGTCTCGCGGGGAGGGGGGAGAAAGGACAGACTGTGGAAGGGTCTGATCGGGCTGGAGTCGGGGGGTCCCGAGGACTCTCCACGCATTGCCCAGGCGCCTCCACTAGCTGGCCTTTCAGCGCCGGGGCTAACGTGTCACTCCGTCAGGGAATCCGTGCTGTCCCGGGGAGGGTGACGAGGCAGGGCGGCTGCGACCCACCCAGGGCTCGGCCCCAGGAGGGCGGCCCACGTAGGGCTGCACCTCACACGGAAGGGGTGCTTGCTCTGTGCCAGGCTGAGTTCAGCCAACAGAACACAGAGTCCCCATCTTTGAGGAGTTTGTGATCAGACCGATGGGCCGAGCAGTCAAGATTCCGCCGCGAAGCCGACCGGGAAATCCATGCTGTTGAGACTCGAGGCAGCGTTGTCACTGGCAGCAGCACCCAGGCTCCCTCCTCCTTTTCCAAACCACACACATTCTTCTCCCACAGGGCCCAGAAAGATGCCACTGACCTGGGGGCAGTCCTGTCCCCAGCTCCCCTGCCCCCTCAGAGTTACAGTTTCGTGGCCGTTAGTAAGGTCCCCTCAGCTTCCCCCAGGGTCACCTCCAGGCTCTGGGAGGGAGGAGGACTCAGGGGGTCGCGTGCTTGGGGCTGATGTCAGGAGACCCAGGCTCCGGGGCGGTGTCAGAAATGGCCCGGGGCCTTCCTCACTGCTGTGGGTTTTCTTTTCTTACCCTGCGTATCGGGAGCAGGGGAAGGAGGCAAGTCTAGGACCATCCAGCCTCCGCCCTCTTGTCCTTCGGGACAGAGGGTTGAGAAAATCTCAGATTTGCGTTGGCATGCGGATCAGTGTTGACTCTGGCGCATGTCCACCGGGAAGCAGCCATGGCCTCCTGGGTCAAGGTCAAGTGCGCAGACCTCGGGCTAAAGCCCAGCTCCCCGGCGGCCGCTCCGGAGGGGGCGCGTCCCCTCAGCACCTCCACTTCCCCTCGAGGAGGAGAGGGTCAGATCGCACCCGTGCCACGCTTCTCTGCGTGCACCACGCAGAAGCTCGGAGAACCTGACCTTTTACGATGAGAGACGTAGTGCGACGCGAGGAAGAACTGGCCCTCAGAATTAGGAATTCCTTTGCCAGAGAAACCACCCGCCCCTGTCACAAGCTTGAGCTCTCCGGATGCAAAACCATGCTGTCTAGAGAGTCGGACCTTTGACCAGACTCGCCGGGGGATGCTGGGGCCCCACCCCGGGACGGCCCCATTGTTGCCTTGGTCTGGGGGTGGGGCTTGAAGTCTGCGTTTATGAAATATCCCGAGATTCTGACTTCCGACCAGAGTCGGGATCTGCTGGAGAAGGCGACCTGACTGAGTTCCTCACCAAGACCTAACCCCAAGGGTGGGGGTCAGGATGGATCAGGCTGCCTGGGAGCTCTGAGCACTCTGGAGAGACGCGCTTTCTAGATCAGAGGCAGGCCCAACTCAGTCCTCGGCTGCTCAGTAGCCTGGACCACCACCCAGGCCGCCTGGACCACCTTGGCCTTGACAGACCTGGCAGCGCCCCCCACACCCTCGCTGGAGTCGGTTCCTCGTCTGCACAGCCTGTCCAGCTGATTCGGGCCGCAGGCCGTTTCTCAGGAGCAGGGGGGCCCTTCAATTCCTGCCCCTGCCCGGCCGCCGTCCTGCGGCTTTCTGTCCACACTGACTTCCCTCAGCTCCAAGCGGGTGTCCAGACCAGGCTGCGTCTTCCAGCCTGACAGACGGCCCCAGCTGTGACACCCGGGACCCGACAGAGCCCGAGGGCTGGTGTTGGGTGCTGTGGGAGGGGCGTCGCCCCCTCGGCCTTGCCGCCGGGTCGGGCAGCAGTGGCAGCGTCGTGGGGATGACGTTTGTGGCGAGCCTTCGCTGCATGGTTCTTGAATGTCGGCTTGCCTCAGGATGAGCAGGGAGCCTCCATGGAAGGTGGATTCCCCGGTCCCTCTCCGAGGGAGCCTACGTCAGTGTGCCTG